CCCCAAAACCCCAAAACCCCAAAACCCCAAAACCCCAAAACCCCACTAATAATATTTAAAATCGAAAATAAACTTAAACTCTAATATTTACTATTAAAAATGTCATCGAACCCAAGGTAACCCCTTTCCTCCTCTTCACTCATGTTCAACCCATTTCAGTACAAAAATCTGCCCTAAAGCCCTTAAAAATTATCTAAAATTTTGCGAACTCTAAAAATCGAAATTCCCACTGAAACTAAGGGATTTCAGAATTTTTTTTATTTTTGGAAGCCAGAGAATTAAAGCGAGCAGAAATATAGGCCTGAAGGCATCAATATTAATGCATTTAAAAGAAAACAAACCCCTCAGTTGGAAATGAAAGAAGTATTTGAGTCGGTACTGCCAGAGAGCTCTGTTGTCCTGAGCGAAGAAAGAAAGTCTGAGGTGAAAGATCAGTTGGTAGGGTATGAAGTTGTTGGTAGAAAGAATGAAGATGAGAACATAACTCTGATGGATCCTCTAATTGGAAGTAAGATGTATCCGAAAAATCACCCTACTAAATCCTCTGGCACCCACTACTTCTACCCACACATCCAGGCAAACATTACCCTCCCATCCCCTAAAATCCCCACCCAAACTTCCTACTACTCCAAGCTGCCCCTCCGTCAGACTCTTCAAGATCTGACTGGAGCAGGCACTTGGGGTTTTATCAGAAACCAGGAAGGAACAGGACTGAGTTCAGAAGGAGTGGAGCCAGAAGGGAATAGAGAAGAGGAAACAGAAGGTAGGAATTAGGGTGAAGAGGGTAGGATTTAGATAGGAGTTGTTTGAGTGATATAGGACAATTGGAGATATTAAAAGAGAGGATAGAGGCGTTGGAAAAGGAGAAGGATGAGTTGGTGCAGATGAATAAGGCTAAGCAGAAAATTATTGAGAATTCTTTGTGGAAATGGGATCATTTTAAGCAAGAAGTGCAGGGATTAGATAAAAAGTATCACACAGAAGAGGAAATGAAGAAGGATGGCATTGAAGAAGAATTTGAAATGTAAGTGAGGATCTTGATTGATAGCTAGAGTCAGTGAGAGGGAGTTTGAAAACTGTTTTTGTTTATTTAACAATATTTTTGAAATAGTTTAAACTACTAATTTTACACATAAAATTTTTTTAAAAGGCTCGATCTTGATTATATTGATGTACAAATTTAATCCTCTTTTAAAGAGAAATTCTATTCTAATCCAGCTCTAAAAACGCTGTTCCACTTCTTATCTCAATTTCCTCTTTACCTTGCATAGAATAAACTATAATAACCAAAACTCTGAAGAAGAAAAATCCTCAACTTCTCAATCCTTAATTCCTTCAGAAAACAGCTTTTCCAACATAGCTGACCTTATTGACAAATACGATGATGACTTTGACGAGCTCAAGTCAGAAGCAGCCAAGCTTATGTATTTCAGTCATAGCATTAGAAAGCCCTGCTCTATTGGCTCTGAAGAGATATCGAGTAAAAGCAAAGAAAGAAAAGTTCAGTTTTCGAATGTCTAAAGCACACCAGAAAGTATAAAGAGAAGCCTAGATTTCTATATTAAATTTCAGAAGAATTTCAATACTAAAGTCTCTGTTAGGGGTTTTGGGGTTTTGGGGTTTTGGGG